GAGAGGACTGGTGCTCCTGAAAAGTCTGAAGTGCCCCTCGGCAGGCCCGTTGTGCCCCTGACAGGCCCAAGGTGCCCCTGCGAGGCCGGTGGTGCCCCTGGCAGACCTCTGGTGCCCCTGGCAGGTCTGTGGTGCCCCTGGCAGGTCTGTGGCGCCCCTGGCAGACCTGTGTTGACTGGTGCCCCTGCTAGGTCGCTGGTGCCCCTCACAGACCTGTGGTGCCCCTGGGCCTTGACAAGCCTGAGATGCCAGGCTATGACAGGCTCGTGGTGCCCCTGATAGACCAGTGGTGCCCTTGCTAGGCCTGTAGTGCCCCTGGCAGGCCTCTGGTGCCCCTGCTACCCCTGCGCCCGGAGAGGACTATGGTGCCCCTGAAAAGCCTGAAGTGCCTCTCGACAAGCCCGTGGTGCCCCTGGGCCCTGACAGGCCCATGTTACCCCTGCGAGGTCGGTGGTGCTCCTGGCAGGCCTCTGGTGCCCCTGGCAGGTCTGTGGTGCCCCTGGCAGGCCTGTGTTGACTGGTGCCCCTGCTAGGCCGCTGTCGCCCCTCACAGGCCTGCGGTGCCCCTGGAAGGACTGTGGTGCCCCTGCCCCTAGGGGTGCTCATGGGCCCAACAGGCCCGTTGTGCCCCTGACAGGCCTGTCGTGTATACTTGCTAGACCTGTGGTGCCCCTGGTGGGCCTGTGGCGCCCCTACAAGGCCGTAGGTGCCCCTGACAGGTTTGTGGTGTCCCTGGAAGGTTTTTGGTGCCCCTGACAAGCCTGAAGTGTCAAGGACAGACCCTTTAGACGCCAGGGTCAAGTTTGTCGGACTGACAACGATTTGCTTACCTGATAACGTTCCTGGTAAGTACTCGCTACTCAGCGTCCACAACATATATACACATAGCACATTCATATATACTTGCTTACAATTGGTAAATGTGGTTGTGGCTAAGAGCTAAGATACTGACTAAAAATAAAAAAAATAAAAAAAACTGAAAATGGGGGCACCACCAAAATGAAGTGGACGAAATCCGTTGAGTTTTTAATTTTGGGTATAGGTAGGGGCACCACTTCGATTCATGACCCTCCCCTTGGAGTTTTCCTGGATCCGCCCCTGATAGGCGGATCCAGGCGTCCAAAAAGGGGGTTATTTTTTACCTCCCAACATAGGTGCCCTGACACCGCCTATGCATGACCAATACAATTTTAGTCGTTCTCTCATAAGAAAATTGTAACATAACAAGACCATTGCCACCCTTTTTAGAAACAGTACCAACAAAAACCTTATTTACTATACTTTTTGTGTACCCCCAATCTCAATGATCTGTATCCGCCTACTTTTGCCAAATTGTCAGGGAACTCAGATTTGTTTTTCAATAGAAAAACACAATTCTAAAGAATAGTGTTTTAACTATTGACAACAAACCTTCGGTTATGATTTTTGAAAATGCATATTTTTAGGATCCATGTGAATTCCTGGTTCATTCTCTATCGATCGGCAAAAGTTGCGTTAAGATTGGTTCAGAAACCTGGCCGTGATAAAGAGTCTAAAATGTATCTGCAATTTGCCCGTTTTTACCCCCCTCTACCCCCCTATTGACATTTTTAATTTTATTTTTTTAGAAATGTAGATCTCGTTGAGCCAAATCGAATGCCGTTTGAATTTTGAAAATCGGCCGGTTAGATCTCGAGATATCAAGGGGGGGGGTCGTAAACAGCCCCCCCCCCCTGCCAATAATATGGGGTAGCCAGGAGCCTGCCACTAATAGGGTTAATCATCGCTTCGTTAGCGTACGTTTGCTAGGTCAGTCAACTGGTTCTGAGGTTGAATACTTATGATTTGAGGTATTTGAACGTTGTGCTGAGCATTGTGAATAAGATTATTAGAAGGTTGAATACTTACCTATTACTTCACGTTCGGTGTGGGTTTTCATTACCCAGTAGCATTGCGAATTTAAGAGTATTGAGAAGACGAAGCCAATTCATTCCCAAGGACAAATACAGATTTCAGAGTATCAAATATCCAGTCAGCATCACTTCGGTATTGGTGTATGCAGACAAATGTTTCCGATTGACAATTCTGGTACTCTCGGGAAGTCGGTAAATGATGAGAACCCCACGGGATTAGTGACGTAAGTGCCACTGCCAGCTCGAGATCTACCAGTGCGTCCAGGCCACTGCCAGCTCGAGATCTACCAGTGCGTCCAGTACAGTGCCAAGACGATCACAGCAGACCCTAAACCGGCGTGGAACGGTTCTGTGGTCGGGACAGACTCTCAGGCCGTAAAGCACCGGGAACGGGATAATACCGCGTCTTCTCGTGGCTTTCAAAGCAGAAGCAAGCAGCTTGATGACGTTGTTGGGCAAGAACGACAAGGACTGCGTGCAGCTGCGACATAGCGCCACAACGTTTGCACTTGTGCTGTTTAAGTGCGTGAATAGGATTGCTCAACTCAGTCGTTTGCCACCTGTGACCTGGTTGGAATGTTTTTGCAGCCTTACCTGGTGAAAATGTCGTGCCATTTAGGTACCTACTCACCTGTGGTAACTTCGTTTAACTTTCGGATACAATAAGCGCCGATGAACCCCATTGACGCGGTTAATAGGTGTGTCGAATGGAAACAATTCGACGTAGTTCAGATCACGGTGCGGTACTGTCAATTTTGAGCTTTTGCCATCTGAATGCTAAACGGCCCCGAGTCAAATCTGAGGACTTCCTACCGGACGCCATGTGTGGATCGCTCATGAATGTAATTGTAAATGCATACATAATACATACATTCTTGCATGCAAAGAACATTGAAATTTGATAGAGCAATCGAATGCACTTTTCCATGGCGCTTTAGCTCTATTATTCGGGGTTATGCGGCGACTTGTAAAAATGACAAAATAGGCGAAAGTTAATTACCCTCGCCCCGTTGGGGGGGGGCCATTTTGGCCCACCCCCTGTGGTTTTTCCTAAATAGCAAGAAAACGGCGGCGCGCAGCGCCGCCAAATTTTCAGTACCTTCCCGGGCATCAATTTGACACCTTCACACCAAATTTAAAAACTTAGGTCACCTTAGGTCAGGAGTAATTGAGGTCAAACTGAGTTCGAGCAAAAATGAGCAAAAAACATGCAATCTTGAAACGCTCACCAAATCTACAGTTATCAAGCAATTTCAAAGTTCTTTATATGGTCTGGTAGACAAAAAGCGGCGCTACAAAACTGCTATCTCGGATTTTCAAAATTTTGGGTTTTTGACCCTCAAAAATTCAAAAAATTGATTTTTTTAGAAAAACTAAAAAAAAAATAAAAAAAAAATCCGAATTTCGAAAAACCGGAATATATGTGATAGTCCCTGCGCTCTTCTATGTACATACCAAATTTCAGATCGATATCTCGTTTGTTGGCCAAGTTATAGCGAAAAAAACTGTTCAAAAATGATGACGTCAAATTTTCAAACTGAATTTTTAGCGATTCTAGACCACGTACGGCAAAACAAAGACCACCATTGAACTCCCCGTGACAAGCTGCATCGATTCGATACCCATTTTATGCAAAAATATCAACTTTGAAATTTGACCTAATTTGACCTGACCTTGACCTGACCTTGACCAAAACGTGACCTAAGCTGGCCCCAAAGGCTGCCTGACCCACATAATCGCATTTGTCATGTAAAATGGACCATAAAACATGTATCACACGACACTTTCATATTGTGACCCCCCAGTGACCTGACCTCTGTGACCTGACCTGGTATCAGTGACCTCAAATAGCAAAATATGTGTTTGAAGAACATTCCCCCATCGATGATTTTCAATGAAATGCATTTTACTCGATTTTACAACGCATTTCTTGAAATGCCTGTAAACGGTGAAAATTGGACCTTTGACCTGACCTGTGACGTCATCAGTTTGACCTAGGTCAATAAAATTGGGTCACAAGGTAGTTCCCTGATAGGGCTATCCAACACCGTTTGCCGCTTGTCGCTAGGTTGCGTGGTTCTCGAGATCTTAGGGGGGGGGGCCAAAATGCCCCCCCCCCCACGTGGCGCGTTGCTCGGCAGAGCCCAACGGGGCGCGGGTTAACCTTCGATGAGCTCTGGTGACCTTGCCTTTGACATGACTAAAAACAAAACAAAGAACAACACTACTAAACTAAACTAAACTAAACACTACTAAACTAAAGTGCATACTCCTTCTTCCTCTTCGTGATTTGTGATGCTTTTCCGAACGCCGAATACCGCATGTCGCTAAGCGGCCCATAAGTCGAATAGGACGGGGGATGTTCAGACACCCCCATCCCAGCAGGCCGTGGGAATCCAGGGCCCAATCTTACCAATGCCGTAAGTAGGATTTGGCAGCACTGGTCGGAGTTAACGGCACTGATATCAAAGACATCCTTTTTATTTACATTCAGCTAATATTGTCCAATGATTTTGATAGCGTGAATGATTACGAGTGTTGCCTGAACGAATGAATAAGTGAATGTGGAATGGTTCTGAATGTGACCAAATGCCGTGAATGCGCATTCACGGCATTTGGTAAGATTGGGCCCAGGAGCCCCAGTGGGCCGCGAGTGAATTGGTGGGTCATTTTCGCACTGAAGATGTAAAACGCTGCGATACGCTCGCGAGACGCGATAAAGCCATCGCTTCCATATCTTTACCGATGTGACCGTCAAGTTTGCATTAATGTCATGGCGATTGAGACTTATTGGTACGAATGACCGAATTTGATGTAAACATGCATGTTTAAAAATTGCACATTTCCAGCCGCCATCCATTCACAATTTCCATGCTATCTCTGCTATCTGCAACGAATGAATAAGCATATGAATCCGAGTGCTGGTTCACTGGAGAAGCCACTGGGGGCGGATGTGTTGGGCAGCCGAGTGGGGCGGCGACACGACCTCTGTCTCGGCCTGGCGGTGGCGACCAGCGCTTCTCGCGACTTCTGTGTCGGTGCGGCCAGTGCGAGGGTGTGCGACGGTCCGCTGACGGCCGGTGACGCGGCGGCCGGTCCGTGTTTCAGGCGGCGCCCTGTTCCCCTGCCGGCTGTGCTCGCAGCAGCTGCGCTCGGCCGCCTCGCTGTCGCAGCACATGGCGCAGCACGCCGGCCGCACGCAGTGTCCCGACTGCGGCCGGGTGCTCAGCAGCAAGCAGCGGCTCATCACCCACCGCGCGGCCGTGCACGGAGCGGCCGCCGCGGCCCGCCGCCGCCGGCCGGCCGACGTGGCGCCGCTGCCCGCTGGGCTCTCACCAGCACCATCAGCCGGGCTCTCACCAGCACCATCAGCCGGGCTCTCACCAGCACCATCAGCCGGGCTCTCACCAGCACCATCAGCCGGGCTCTCACCAGCACCATCAGCCGGGCTCTCACCAGCAACCTCAGCTGGGTTCTCCCCAGCGCCGCCGCCGACTGGGGCCGCCCCAGCGCTGCCCCAGTCGCCAGTATCCACCTGGGGCTTCAGCTCCGACTGATGGTCCGGACTAGTAAAGTAATATCGGTCCGGACTGCCTCCTCTTGACGGGGCCTGCCCCCCAATGGCCCGGTGGTTCTGTCAGATCTAAGACCCCCTAGGGATGGAGTGGCGCCAACATCTTACATGATGTTGGGTACCCCGATGCCCAGAAGTGCCGCGAGGGCCAAGGCCAATTCCTGCCCCAGTACCGCTGGCAGCTGGCAGAGGATACTGCACGTGACGGGCGGTGTTTGGAGGCTTATGATCGTGGAACCTGTATATGTCATGCATTGTTGTATGTATTTACAACAACAGTGTTGCAACAGCAACAGTGTATTTACAGTGTTGGGTGGATGTAGACAACATGCGAAATTTATGTTCACTGTGTTGAAGAATGATCAATGTTTTTGATATGCTACTGCCATTTTCATCAAATGCTTTCAAATTTATGGGAGTCGCTGTTGTAGCTTTTTATAATTGAAACTACTGGGAAGGGCATAGCTGTTTTAGGCGGACGTTTTTAGTGATGCATTATTCGCAAATCTCATTAGGTACCGTAAGCATGGTTTATCCAAGAGTTGATTGCTGGACCCATGCGCTTGGTAGCCCGACATGGGGGAGTGTACATGGTATCCACGGCGTTTTTCTCAGGTAGTCATTTGTTTGTAATCCCAATGCAGGCACCTCGGCAGGAATTAACGGTCAGTAGGAAGGCACCGTACCATTTGGGCGTGCTTTTTTCATACGCTGGCAACAGTTCACTTCCATTTGTTGTAGCGTCATCAAGCGCGGTGCATGGCACAGTGTGGAATTCGATGCCTGCACTAGATCATCATGCCGCTATCATATGTGAGAACATTGGCTGATAACACTGCATATACCTCGGAAGGCTTGCCACTGTTTTTTTTTAAGTTTAGGATAGCGCTCCATGCAGTTTGCTTTGCTGCGTTCTTTTTTGCACATTTGAACAGCTTGCACGGGCTGTCCGTGCGGCTCTACGCCCATTTGTAGGTACTTATTCTATACTGTTCTTTGTAAGTTGTATGCTTAATACATATTTCCTCGTTTTATTGCAAAACGGATTATTGTTTTATGAGGAAGCTGACTATGACTATGATTTTGGGACGATCGACCTATGACTCGAGGCCGCGCTTGAGTGGGCACCTCAGGCACTTCAGCTGTGGTTACGGGGTGTATTTAGCCACATCTGATTTGATTGAAAGCTTGAAAAGTAAGAAAGATACAAGCGAAGCGGTTGAAAGAAGAAGAAAAGAAACGAGCAGTTGTATAGGTAAGCGGTAAAAAAAAAAAACTGGTAGCTTTCAACAATTGCCTTAAAGGTAGTGTGCCACCTTTGAAAGATTTCCCGTTTTATTTTTCCTAGGATAAGAAGCTTCTGTTTTTACCTAATATCGCAAAAAAAAAATCAAAAATGGGCCTGGAATAGTGCCTTTTTCGCCTAAAAGTTTATCGGTTTTTAGATATGTATAACAACTGTAGTGGGCTCACCTGCAAACAGGCGTCGGGCAACAATCGCGAATGCGGCGCACTTGTGACAATAAGCAAAGGTCATTATAGTGTTACGACCATACGACGTACGGGAATGAGTTATCAGCTGTCTAATCGTAGACAACACAATGTCGAGCCTTAAACTGTAAGCCTGTATTGGTATTGTTTCTTAAATTTGGCTGTCGAACATTAATTTGTGGTTTGAAATATGATTTTATGTAAAATAATTGATATGAAACAGCCGTCTCAAGTTATGTTATGTGTCTCAAGTTATGTTATTATGTCTCAAGTCAAGTTATTACAAGTTATGACCCCATTACACCACACGCAAGTGGCAGAAATGACAATGATCAGCTGACGCATTTTTCTTGGCCGAAGTCAGAGCGCGCGGCCCGACGCACCACGCGTATTTGGAAATTCCGACCTCGACGAGCATCAGAAGCCACCTAACAGGCGTGTTCGAAACCGCAGGAGATGATGATGAACGGGTTTATCGAAACTTGATTGGATGAGCCTATCGGTAATAGCGATTTTAGTGTGTGCATTTATTGTTCATAGTGGTGTGAAATGTGGTTGGGGTACGACCGACAACCCGTCGGGGCGAATTTCGCACTGGGGTACTCAAAATTCGAAGAATTTAAGACGTTTCCATAAGTTTTGAAGGTATGGATAAGTTCTAAAAATCCGGTTCTCCTTATCCGGGTCATTAACTCCATATGGTCCAAGAAAGCTGGCACACTACCTTTAAGTTATAGGTAAAGGCTCATGATAATGACGAAGTCTCTGAATGCCACTTATGGTCCGATTTATATCTCACGACTGAGGCGGGTGAGGCCAATACCTGACCACGTAGTAGCTCGTGAACCCAGGAGCCATGACGGCGGATAACAGCGCAGTACCTAAATGACCTATAGGTATGGAGCATGTCGACAGATTTGACCTGAGGCTTGACCTACCGAGTTCAGAGGCCAAGGAAGGTCAACGATGACTTGGATTTTGCAGATGTCTTTTTTTTTTCTACCGGGAGTTTCCGAAAAACTGAACAATTTTATTTTTCCTCTAAAATATCTTAGAATTATACTATCGAGAAAAATCAACTGTAAGCAAGTACCTACCTACGTTGCTATTTTGTTTGATGCTAGTTTTACTAACTTAAATAATGAAGCCATAGAAAAAGACGTACAACCAATCTACCATGTTTGCACTTTAACCCGCGCGGGGCTGGGGGGGGGGGGTAAATTTTACCCACCCTCGCGAATTTTTGCAATAACTCAAAAACGGCGGCGCGCAGCGCCGCCAAAACTTTCAGTACCTTTTCTTACATCAATTTGACACGTTCCCTGAAAATTTGAGCGAAATCCGTCGGAAATTTTGTGAGAAATTGACGTTTTAGTCACGTCATGTTCGCCATTTTCGCCTCAAAAACGGCAAAATTTCAAACGCCGCTAACATCTTCATTTTTAAAGGAATCAAGACGTAGCAAAAAGATTATACGTAATTCTACTTCTTCTATCAAATGGCTATCTCGGTTTTTGAAAATCTTGGATTTTGGCCAATTTTTTTTCTTCAAAAAACTGATTTTTTTGGGAAAATAATTATAAAATCCAAAATTTTGAGTGTATCGAAAAAACCGGAATATATGTCAGAGATGTGGTCTATGTACACCTACATACCAATTTTTAGAAGAATCGGTTCAAAAATGTGGGAGTTATAAAAATTTCATGACGTCACGACACACAAAAATTTTGAAAAATGAATTTTTTGGAAGTTCTAGACCTTGTACGGAAACAAAAATAGCACCATTCGATTCGCCGTGAAAACTGCATCAGATAGACACCTTTTTAGGCCTTAACAACTAACTTCAAAATTTGACCTCACTTGACCTGACCTTGACCTGACCTCGACCTGAAATTCATCCAGATATGGTCCATATCACCTATTGAGTGTGCCTATTGAATTCTATGAATAAAATGACCAATAAAACATTTGTCGCACATGCCCTTTTCTATATTTTGTTTTTAGTGACCTGACCTGACCTGACCTGACCTTGACCTTGACCTCTGAATGATATTTTATGCAGCGAATATTGTCTTGGTAGCCTAAGAACAGGTTTAGGGCAGGGGTGGATTTTTTTGTTTTTTATTGGGGTTGCACAGCCCTGAAAGGGCGCCCAAAGCGGTTCCGAGGGGCGCAATAGTCCGGAAGTGGGCGCCACCAGGTACGGTCGTAAACTTGGCGTTGGGGGGGGGGGGGGTGAATTGGCAAAGGGGCCCCTGTAGACCCTCGCTGGGGGGCGGTATGTTAGCTTAACCCGCGTACCGCGGAGGGGGGGGGGCGAATATCCACCTCCTCCCCCTGAAGTTTTTCGTAAGTAGCGGAAAACTTCTGAAACCAGTATGAGACCCTTATATAAGCCCGGCGTAAGATCATTTAAGGCCAGTATTGAGATTGACCCTCATAAATCGGGTGAGACCTCGCACAGCAGTATGGGTCTTTGAACTCCAACATGGGTCTTACGAGACCTGCTTGAGCCATCAGAGGTCAGTGCAGGCCCGGGGTCATCAAAGGCCAGTGCGGGGTCGTCAAAGGCCAGTTCGGAACCTCTGAGGTGGTGTGAGCCCTTGAGGCCAGCGTTGGTCCTTGAGAGGTCAATGTGGGACCCCTTGACTGGTATGGGCCCTAAGAGACATGTGTGGTGCCAATGCGACCCAAAATAGACACAACTAACGACATGGGGCTCTCAGAGACTAGCAGCGCCCTTAAAAACCTGCACGGGCCAAGCAGATCGACAGGGGCCCTCCGAGATCGGCAGAGAATAAGAAGATAGCATGAGGCGCCTATGATGGGTTTGGCCCGGGCTCTCAAAGACCTAAATGGAACTATCAGAGACCAGGGACCCTTGGCAGCAGACATGGGCCCTCAGAAACCGATGTGACCCCGATATGGTAATAGACCTTAATGCCGGCCCGCTGCGACGAGATAACGGCCCTCAAATTCCGAAATTCCGGCATGGGGACCAACAGAGACTGACAGGGAACCTCGGAGGACGGCATGAAACGCCAAAAGTTTTTCCTTGGACCACAGAGACTAAAGATGGGACTCTCAGAGTCTGGTGCGGGGCCCTCTGAGACCTGTTTTGGGCCACCAGGGTCCGGTTCGGTCCATCAGATGCCGGTTATGGCCCTCAAAAGCCGGTTTGGAATTGGGACCCTGAGTGGCCACTGGCCTGTACTGGCCCTCCAAAACCATTTGGTCATCAGAGGCCAGCCCAATATGATCCCTTACAGGCCAGTGTGGAGCTCTCGGAGGTCAATGTGGGCCCTCAGAGCCCAGTGCGAGGCACCCAAAGTTCAATCTTGAGCCCCCAGCGACCGGAATGGGTTCATCAGAGGCTAGTGTGGGTCCCTCAGAGAAGCCCGATTCGGGGCCCTCAGAGGTCGGTGTAGGGCCCTCAAAGACCAGTATTGGCCCTCAAAGGCCTGTATGGGGCCCCAGGCTCAGAGGCCGATGTGGGCCCTCAGGGACCAGACTAACCTGACACCCCAGAGACCATAATAGGGCCATCAGTGGCGGTGTAGAGACCCCATAGACCGGCTGGGGCCCATTGAGGCCAGTTTGGGGCCCTCAGAGTCCAGTGTGGGGCCTGTTATAAGCGACAGTAGGGCTCCCGCTTGCATTGTGTCTCGAACAAGACTGGTCCACATTCCAACCGCGCCCGCTGACCCCAGCCGCTGACCGCTGACCAGCAGGGGTCGGTGTTGGACCCCAGAGGTCAGCATAGGGCCCTCAGAGGCCGATGTGGACCCTTAGAGACCGGCATCGGGCCTTCAGAAGTCAGTACGGCCCTCGGGGACACCCAAAGGCCAGTCTTGGGCCCCCAGAAAAAGAAATGAGGCCATTAGAGGCGTGAACCCCCAGAGACCAGTTTGGGTCTACTTGGGAGCGCTCGAGACCAGTACAGGGCCCTCAAAGGCCAGTTTGAGGCCCATAGAGGTCGATGTGGGCTCTTAGTGACCGGCACCCAAAGGTCAGTCCTGAACCCCAGAGACAGAAATGAGGCCATCAAGAGATCAGTGTGGGGCCCTCAAAGGCCGGTTGGGGGACTCCTGATGCCGTTAGGGCCAGTGGAGGGCCCTGAGAGGTCGATGTGGGCCCTTGAAGGCCACTGAAGCGCCCTCAGAAGGAGGAACTCAAAGACCGGTATGAGGGCTGTTACATAATACCTGGCGTTGGTTTCTTGAGCCTCGTGACAATCGGGTAAGAGCCAGGGCCCCTACGCCCATCGAGGCCCATCGGTTGTTTAAGGGGGCAAATTATGATGGCCCCTGATTTGTCTTTGGGGGGCCATGGCCCTGATGCCCCCTGCGACCTCCACTGGGCACCACCCCACCCCCCACTGAGCGGTGAGCGGCGCACCAGGAATCGAAATCCACGATTTTTTAACTGGTCATTTTTGCATGTCCGACAGCTCTATACGGCCTTGTGACAGCTCAAGCTCTTGAGAGGAGGGTAGTACAGTCCACAGCATAAGTAATGTGCGGTTTCAGTCCTGGGTATGTTCTGCTTCTGAAGCTTAGGAATGATTAGCCAGACCACCATGAAACTTTGAATGTAGCTAGCCTGTATCGTTGTCCTTGCAACTGCAACTTTATCTATTGACGTCTTTTTCGATCACTCCGCATTAAAAAATCGACAGTCAAAGCCATCCATTGAGATTGGTTAAACCACACATTACTTTAGCG